TTTGTAAAAGTACTTGGGGTTGTTTATTTAGAATCCACATCTGATTTACACCACTTCAAGAATATGCTGTAGCACAGTACGTCTAAAGTTTCTCCTTTACAACAGTTAATTTTTTGTAAGGAGTAAAGATAGGGATTTGATAGAGTATTTGCTAGACTTGAAAATTTGATTTTGTAAGGATTTTCATGAAGTTTAGGAATCCAGTATAGGCAGCGTAGATCGAACTCATCTTAGTTGACTGGAATGTTAAAAGACTGAAAAATGATTTTGAATAATGTCATTTTAATGTCAGTTGGGATTCCAGACTTAGAATAAAAACCAAATTCTTCTATAATACAGCTACAATGAGCCTTACAAACAAAGTCAATATTGTTACAAGCATTGTGTACTGGAACCATTAAATAAATTTCAAAGTTTTCCTTCTATTCATATCAGCAGATAATGACCTTTATCTATCATTAAACAACAAGGCTATTTGTTTGATCAATCAATACGCATGGGTCGTTGGTCTTACATTTGGTTAATTCGTGCGTAGAAGACGTATTTCATATAATTATAAACATTACAAATTTGCGCGGCGTAATGCTTAATTTTGCATGCGATATACTTTATTGGAAGCAGAAAAAAAACTTCATCTTTTTTTAACTTTGCCAAGGCACTGTATCAAGATTGGGTAGATAGGCGTGAAATTAACTTCTTCATACGTCAGCGAGTTAAGGATAAATAACACTATTCTACCCTTTGCATAGTTAACCATCAATCAATACACCACGCAAAGCACTGTTCAAATCTTTATTTACATCTTTGGAGGGTGATGATGGCCGTAGGAACCGGGGGGGGGGGGCACGGGGGGGGGGCGTGCCCCCCCCCCCAACAATTTTGCCGATATATAGATTACTATAGTAAACATAGATACTATAAGCTTGTGCCCACTCAATAAAACCGCCTGTTGACCTTTTTTTTTCCTTGTCAGAAAATTTTTGGTAGTGCCCCCTCAATTGTCAACTGAAAAAGTTTGGCTGTGCCCCCCCCCCCCCGAACTTAAATTGCTTCCTACGGGCCTGAAGATGATACGCATATGTGTACGAGTATGTAGCATAATGATGTATGGTGATGTACGATGACGACGATGATGATGTACATCAAAATATAACAAGTTCATATCAACACTAGTAAATAAGATATTTCATCTTCAAAAATAGCAATAATACAATTGTCTAGCCCAGCAAAATAAATTTACAAACTTACAGACTGAATTACAAAGTTTACACTTGAAAATAAATAATAAATTTCCATATGCTAATATACGTAGCAGTAAACCTTCAAAAAAGTTACAATTAAAATAAATTCAAGGACCAATTTATAAAAAAAACAATAAGTGTAAAACTTACATTTGTGACTTGGCTACCCAGACAAACCAATAGCGCTAAAACTGCACGGACTAATGAATCTTCAGTCAAAGGAGGTAATTTTATATATCGGTGTACAAATAATGGAATTCCAAACCCGTTCAAATTAAACATGATTATCGCATAACAGCACAAACACAAACAATTTTTTTCTTCCAAACTTTAAATATCTTTGCTTAAATAGGAGCCTCTCTGACTAAAGAAGTGATATTTGTTTAATTGAACAACTTTATGTTTGACCAAGCTACAAAATTTGGTGAAAAGTGGGAAAATGTAACATATATATATATATATATATATATATATATATATATATATATATATATATATATATATATATATTGGAATTTAAAAAATATATTAATTTTGTTACTGAAAAGTTTCTAGGAACATTTTATAGAGTCTATTTTTACATTTTACATAATTAGAATTTTCTAATTAGAAATGTACATTTTGATTGAAAAAAATAATGAAAAATTAGCAATATATATAAGTCTTTTGTATGGGAGATAAGAAAAATTATTTGTGATATGTATCGTTAAGCATGTTTTTAAATCCAAAGTGTTGAAAACTTTATTTAAATCCCTGAGTTTATACAATGATTAAGTCCTACTGATAGAAGCGTTCACGGTAGCTCAGTCGCTCCGTGATCGGGAGGTCGTGATTTCGAATCTCAGCCGTGACTGACCTAAGTCGATAAAAATGGGTAGCAACTGTTCCCTCGCCATGCGACTTTGAAGTTAAAGTTGCGGGTCCTTTTGATGAGACCTTAAAATCCGAGGCCCCGTGTCACGGCAGGCATTGGCATGATACAAATTCCTCACTGATCAATGACCCTGAGTGCCGAGTAAAGGTCAAAATTTTAAGCCTTTAACCGGTATATGGTGACGTCTCTATATGAGTGAAAAATTCTCGAATGGGACGTAAAACAACATACAATCAATCAAAAGGTGTGTCACTCTGAATAGTACACAAATTTTCCCGTTCACCCGATCGATGACAAATAGCACACAATCAATCAACCCTACTGATAGACGCTGGGTTTATTTTGAGTTTCGAATCAACTGGAAGAGATAAACTCCATATACAGCTGATTATCGTATATTGCTATATAACTAAAAGAAGTTGAAGAAAGGAAAGTTGGTTTTTTTCTAGTGTTTTCTTTAAAACAATGGCCACGTAAAGGTATAAATGTCATTAAAATAATCATAACAATCATTTCCAATATCTTCAAGAAATATACAAGAATAGGGTTGTCCCAGAAAAACGCGAATTTTTAAAATATTTCATAAACTATTTTACCAAAATTAATAATTTTTTGCAATTTGTTGGGAAATGATATTTTCTTTTTCTTTTGACAAAATTTTATGAGGCTTTAAGACCTATGCACGTAAAAACAATATTTAAAGGGTGTAAAATAATAATATGGTGGTCGCACGACAAATATTTTTACTTTTAAAAATAGCAATGTCAATGAAGTTTTCTTGATTACCAGGCTATATTGAAATATAATGTGACAAAATTTATTTCTATAAATACATTATAATCTGGAGAGCTCATGTGTGAATGTAAATTAATTTAATATCATAAAGGATAAAAATATGACATCAAATGCCAAAATACTTTTAGTTAGATACTGTCATAAATGGTGACGTCGGGCGATAATAGGGAGCAGCAATTTATCAAGCAGTACTGTGTTGAACGAGATATGACACCTGCCCATTCAGGAAAAAGAGTATGTGAACAAATGAACGAAACAAACATACGTCTCGGACACATGTTTATACCTAGATAAAGAGATTCGAGGATGGCTCGACTGGTTATCTGATAGAAGAGGCGTTTGGTAGACCATCAAAAATGAAGACAAGCTGAAAAGTCGGATACTGGACGTCATGCACTGTACGTGAAGACCGCCGTTTACCAAAGTGAGCAGTTACTGGTTTATGATCGGGGCTGGGAAATTGGAAATTAAAAGAATTAATTCTGCGATTCTTTGTTAATGCTAATATTTGATATGGAAAGATTTGGAAGCTAAAAGAAAATAAATACTGTGTCAAATTTATGCGTCAGATGACTTTTATCAGACACACAATTCCAGAACAAATTCACAAACGCCATAAGCTCCGTTTTTACGTCGTCAGTTTTGCGCCGACAGCTATTTTGTAAGATGCTTTTACCTGAGAGAAAAATGTTATTCATAGAGATATTTTATTGAAATTTTCATGCATTATTCGAAAAATATTGATTATGATGTGTGTCAATTTTTATTTTTATAGTTTTAGTGAAACAAAAGATATTGAAAATGTTCGCGTTTTTCTGGGACAACCCTCGTAAATTAAATTGCATTATTTGTAAGACACAATTGCAGTGCAAAAGAGTCATATTTAATTTACCATATTGTCAAAAGAAGCGTGTTGATCCCCATTTTTGTATTGATTTTAACTAAGATATGTGTGTAGATATCAAATATATACTTAATTGACAAAAAGTTCTAAAGACTTCTGATGCCAGGATCTAACCTCCATCAATATCCTATGCAGAGTTGTTGTTCGTTACTCTCTCAGACACCTCTGCAATATTGGCTAATGACAAGATTTTTGACATAAAGTAAAAAAAAAAAAGGATATTCCAAGCAAGGATTATTTCAAATTAAACTAATAGTTCTTGATATTTCAATTAAATATCTACCTGAAAGTAAAAATATTAGCACAGACATCAATTATAATGACTTAAAACAAACGCACTATTCCTTGTGTTGATAAACGTAATCTATGAGGTCCAATATAGAGGTGAATTTATGAACCAATGGCAGAGAGTGAACCTCCATATGAAGACAGGAAGAAAGACTTCTAGATATCTTTAAGAGTTGTCTTCCTTTGTCTGTGAAACGATGAATTGTGAAGGGTCTTATTGGGGCATGGATCCTTTAACTATTCTTATTTGTTTGCTCTCTCTCTCTTTCTCTCTCTCTCTTTCTCTCTCTCTCTCTCTCTCTCTCTCTCTCTCTCTCTCTCTCTCTCTCTCTCTCTCTCTCTCCACAAAACTGTTTCTTTACAAAGTAGCAAAAGATGGCTGGTTTTAAATTCGGTCAATCTTCGTTAATATTATCTATCAAGTTTTGATTAAAAATAACAAGCATTCTTTAAAATGCTTCACTTTTTTTTATCTACATTAAACAGAAATGCATTTAATCTCATTAGCTTGTGGTCCACAAAACTATTTTACTTTCATTTTCTTTATAGAACCCCAAGGAATTTCGATTGCTTGTGAACATCAAAGTTGCTCTATTTGCATTATCAATAAAAACAGTAAGATTGCATTGCCATTGCTTGTGATCATCAAAATTGCTTCATATCCATTATCTACATAAAACAGCCAGAGGTTTCAATTTCACTAGTGTGTCATATTTGTTATCATTCTCCTTAAAAAGAACGGAATGAAACTAAGATACATAAAAATTATATGTGTTATCTTTCGACCCTTTCTTAATCATTCCTGACATACTACCCTTCATTCGATTGCTTTTGGGAGGCATCCAAAGGTGTTTATATATACAGTAAAACTTCCTCTAGTAAAAGCACAACATTGTTTTGTTGTAGTAAGATCATCTCAAAATGGAAAGGATGATGTTTTCCATTCTCTTAGTGATTTTTATTTCAATTTCACAAGCTAGGACAGATTCCTTGTTAACTGGTACTTATGATCCGAACTCTACGTCTTTGATCAATGATAGGCGTGACATCAGGGAAATCGATGTTCTTCGACAGATCATCAACCAGGAAACTCTCATCCGTTTAGCCGTGGTCAAGGATGTAAAGGCAATAGTGGACGACGTAAGTTCCGTAAAGCGAAGCATGGCGTCTTCAGAAACGATGGTCTACACTCTACAGCAGACAGTCGAAAGATTACAAAAACAGATCGATTCTCTAAGTCAGAACAACACCTTACAGCAGAATCTTGAAAGATTACAAAGACAGGTTGATTCTCTAAGTCAGGACAACTCTTTACAGCGGAAGGTAGAACAATTAGAAAGACAGATTAATTCTATGAGGCATGATAACGAGAGAGTTTCCATGAATCAAAATATGATTCAGGAATCTGATCAGATGTTGAAGATTTTCATGGAAAATATAAGCGATATCCATGAAGATTTAAAAAGCAGTATACTACAAATCATCAAGAAAGGTAACTCTCTCTCTCTCTTTCTCTCTCTCTCTCTCTCTCTGAGTATATTTTATATTACACTTATTATTATTTCATGTATTTATTCCTTCTTCTTTCAGATTTAAACATAAATAAAGATTGTAAGGACCTCTATGTTAATGGTAATACAAAATCTGGTGTATATGAAATATATCCGTTTGGTATTGAAAGCAAGATTAACGTGTACTGTGACATGGCGACTGAAGGCGGAGGGTGGACAGTAAGATCTCTCTCTCTCTCTCTCTCTCTCTCTCTCTCTCTCTCTCTCTCTTAGACTGTAATTTCAAGACTTCTTCAAATTTGTGTTTTATCAATTTTTGCTGAATGCAAGGTGGTGCGGATTCAACATGATATGAGTATGTAATTTAGCTAAAACTAAAGGTAGCTATAGAATTTTTGATATGAAATATGATGAAAAAAATTTAAAGATTAGGGGCATATAGATAATGTAAAAATCAAAATATAAACAAAATATAGCATGAATGGCATAATGAACAGTAGAATTTTCATATTAGACTAAGTTAAAAAGAAATCATAAGAAAAATTATATCTGTTATATTACTTCAAGACTATTTATCTGTTTTATTCATTAAAAAAAATCAGCATTCGATTTAGCAGTAATTCTTCCAAACCGCTACCACTGTGAGGTTGTGCAAGTGCACAATTTAAATGCTTATACTAAGAAGTAATTACGGTGGCTGGTATAGGACATGGTATGAGATTTTTTTTTTATTAATTCGTGGCCACGAAATAAAATTCGTGGGAACGAAATAAAATTCCTGGCCACGACATAAAAATCCGTGGCCACGATATAAAATTCTTTATTTCGTGGCCACGAATTTTTATTTCACAATTATATGTACATGGAACTAGTGAGAGTCTGTCCAATGACACACAGACACAGTTAGATTATTGTAACTGGCCCGCACTGATAAACATCATTATAAATACCCATATATTTAATTTGCATATATATTAGAAGCAGCTGAGAATTGGTACATGCATTATGAACATAGTCTAGATGTAAAAAAATAATAATAATAAACTCTCTCTTTTGCTCTGTGCCCAAAATTTAAAACAAAACATTCAAGCCGATTCAATTGACTGTTCTGGAGTTTAAGGCAGTTTAATGATACTTCATCCAAAATGACATCCTAACCAAATGATAAAACAAAATGAAAGTGTTCTCTTCAGCTTGTCATCATGCTACATGACACAGCATGAAAACACGATCTTTTAGATGATATGATACACAGGGACAATTTTGTATTAGTCAAGTTATGTATTTTTCTTAACTATAATAACTCTGGTAAGTTTTGTTTCTGATATTAGTCAAGGCAACCCGAACATTAATGACTTTAAGGGCTTATTTGCTGTTTTCTCACATTTTCTATTGAATCCTGTTACATAGTTGTAATGAAATAAAGACACAAAATCTTAGCATGTTAGGAGTATAACTTCTCATGTGAAACATGTTCTACGTAACAGCATCGAATCTCATTGCTCATTACACAAATAGCCTGTTGGCTCATTCTAATTGAATGATTAATTATAAGTTCGTTCATCTTGAATGACATAAAACAGAAGAAGCTAAAAGTGGCATTATGTAGCACAAATTTATTTCGTGGTCACGAATTCTATTTTGTGGCCACGAATTTTATTTCGTGGTCACGAATTTTATTTCGTGGCCACATTTTTTTTATTTCGTGGCCACGAATTTTTATTTCGTGGTCACGAATTAATTAAGGTCTTCCGTCTCCGAGGAAGACCTTATAGTGATTCTATTGTTTCTTCTTCTTCTTATTATTATTATTAGGGTCTTCCGTCTTCAGCGGAAGACCCTTCTATTATTCTATTGTTTCTTTTTCACTTTTATTAGGGTCTTCCGTCTTCAGCGGAAGACCCTTCTATTATTCTTATGTTTCTTTTTCAAGCTTCTTATTAGGGTCTTCCGTCTCCAACGGAAGACCCTTCTATTATTCTATTGTTTCTTTTTCACTTTTATTATTATTATTATTAGGGTCTTCCGTCTCCAACGGAAGACCCTTCTATTATTCTATTGTTTCTTTTTCACTTTTATTAGGGTCTTCCGTCTTCAGCGGAAGACCCTTCTATTATTCTATTGTTTCTTTTTCACTTTTATTAGGGTCTTCCGTCTTCAGCGGAAGACCCTTCTATTATTAGGGTCTTCCGTCTTCAGCGGAAGACCCTTCTATTATTCTTCGGTTTCTTTTTTACCTTTATTATTATTATTATTATTATTTTTATTCTTTTTTCTTCTTACAAAATTTGTGCAGAAGATTTCTCAGAGATGGCTCGTTCGATTTTATTCAAATTTTCAAGGTAGATGCGTTGACATCTGAAGTTAATTCCGGCAAGTTTGTTAAGGGATATTTACTTCCGGTCGAGAGTTATCGCCCTTTTATTAAAATTCAGAGGACCTCCTTGTCTGCGATGGAACTCAAAAACGGCTTAAGCAAGAGCGCTGAAATTTTCAGTGATGATAGAGGACATGTTGCCATTTTGCACCTGGGTTTGGATATTTTCCGGAAGTACCTAGTATGGAAGCTCGGTAGGGGTCGAAATTTAGGGCACGAATCATGAGTGAATTTTTGAGACATTTTGTGTCATATCTTTTAAAGTATAATTATTTTGTAAAAACATACTGAACAATATTTGTGTAGAATGACAAGATCTTTAATATGATATCAAGAAAAAGGGGCTGACTTGTCATATTAGGGGCCGAGAGGGGCCAAATGTATTAAATCAATAACTCTTTAATGATCAATATTTTGGTATACATTACTGAAGCAAAAATGTTTACCTAAACAATTTACAACCAGATACTATGATATTTTTATCATATGCTACATAATTAAGGGCCAGAAGGGGCCAGAATTCCAAATCTTTGGCACTCTATATCTCAAAAGTGGGAAATATTTTGATAAGCAATATTGAATAAAAGATGTTCAAAATAATGTTCTAAACAATATTTAACCTTTCGATTTTTGCTAAACGTCCCCATTAAGGAGTTGAAGGGCTGACCCCTAAATTTATCTTTTGCATATAGCTCGGAAATGAAAAAGAATTTCTGAATAGTTGTTGAACAAAAAGTGTTCAAAATCATGAGAGCTTTAAAGTGGTATGAAGAAAAAGGGGCTGGCCCCTCAAAATAGGGGCCGAGAGGGGCCAAAAGTCTATAATCAATATCTTTTTAACGGTCAATATTTTGCAATTCATTACTGAAGCAAAAATGTTTATCTTAACAATTTACAACTATATATTATAAAATTTATGTCATACGTTACATAATTTGGGGCCATAAGGGGCCAGAAAGCCAAATCTTTGGCACTCTATATCTCGAAAGTGGGAAATATTTTGATAAGCAATATTGAACAAAAGATGTTCAAAATAATGTTCTAAACAATATTTAACCTTTCAATTTTTGCTAAACTTCCCCATTAAGGAGTTGAAGGGCTGGCCCCTCAATATATCTTTTGCATTAAGCTCGGAAACGAAAAAGAATTTCTAAATAGTTGTTGAACAAAAAGTGTTCAAAATCATGAGAGCTTTAAAGTGATATGAAGAAAAAGGGGCTGGCCCCTCAAAATAGGGGCCGAGAGGGGCCGAAAGTCTTTGATCAATAACTTTTTAACGATCAATATTTTGCAATTCATTACTGAAGCAAAAATGTTTATATCTACAATTTCCAACTATATATTATGATATTCACATCACATGTTACATAATTAGGGGCCATAAGGGGCCAGAATGCTAAATCTTTGACGCTTTATATCTCAAAAGTGGGAAATATTTTGAAAAGCAATATTGAACAAAAGATGTCCAAAATATTGTTCTAAACAAGATGCAACCTTTCAGTTTTTGCTAAACGTCCCCATTAAGGAGTTGAAGGGCCGACCCCTAAATACTTCTTTTGCAAATATCTCAGAAACGAAAAAGAATTTCTGACCATATGTTAAACAAAAAGTGTTCAAAATCATGAGAGCTTTAAAGTGACATAAAGAAAAAGGGGTTGGACCCTCACAATAGGGGCTGAGAGGGGCCGAAAGTCTTTGAACAATAACTCTTTAACGATCAATGATTTGGAATGCATTACTGAAGCAAAAATGTTTATCTCAACTATTTACAACTCTATGTTATGATATTCACATAATATGTTACATAACTAGCGCCCATAAGGGGCCAGAATGCTAAATCTTTGACGCTTTATATCTCAAAAGTGGGAAATATTTTGATAAGCAATATTGAACAAAAAATGTCCAAAATAATGTTCTAAACAATATGCAACCTTTCATTTTTTGATAAACGTCCCCATTAAGGAGTTGAAGTGCCGCGAATATCTCAGAAACGAAAAAGTATTTCTGACTAGTTGTTGAACAAAAAGTGTAAAAGATCATGAGAGCTTTAAGGTGATATCAAGGAAAAGGGTCTGACCCATTAAATAAGGGGCCGAGAGGGGCCGAAAGTATACAATTAATAACTCTTTGATGATCAATATTTTGTAATATATTACTGAGGCGAAATAGTTCTTCTTCACACACTTTATCTAAATAACATGATGTTGATATCATATATTACGCAATAAGGGGTCTTTAGGGGGCCAGATTGCATAATCTTTGGCGCAATATGTCTCTAAAAGGAAGAAAATTTTGATAAACAGTATTGAACAAAAGACGTTCAAAATAATATTCTGAACAATATGCACTCTTTCAATTTTTGTTAGACGTCCCCATTCAAGACTTGAAGGGCCAGCCCTTAATATTTCTTTTGCATATATCCCGAAAACAAAAAA